GATCAGATGGGCTTGGCAAGCTACACACACCAATTCCTGTGCTCTCTGCTCGTACCAACTCCACTGAACTCCACTGAACCTTTGCACCCACGGCCAAAAAGAGCTTGAAATACAGAAATTCACAGAAGCAGATGCTTGGAACACTTACATTCTTTAGAAATTAGGGGGTTTTAACTGCTATTCAGCAGAATGGGGACATCCTTTAATTCCCCAGCATCAGCATGAGGAGGAAACCATTCACCACCTCCATCCTGAACGTGGCCACCCTCAGGAGGAGCTCAACAGCAACTCTGCACAGTGGCTTTAATGACTAACCAAAATCCTGGTTGTACTGTTCTTTTCCACTTTGCTGCTACCCCTGAACAAAATTTGTTTTTCTTTCTTCTGTTTGTTTCCAGCACGGTAACTCTGACCCCGAAATTTGTTAAACAAACAGCATCTGGGCTTTGCTGCAGAGCTTGTCACTGGTGAACAGAGTCAGGCTGACTCAGCATGAGGAAATGAGCCATTTTCCTCTATTTCTTCACATTCTAAAGCCTCTAAAGCCTATCCTTCAGATCCATTATTTCATCAAGGGCTGACAGACGTGGAAGGGAGAGAGAAGCAGGGAAAGCACTGCCACTGCCCCTCTACCCAGAGAATTCCTGAGCCAGACTACAGGGACTGAATCCTCATAGCCTCAACAGGAAAGGTCCAGTTTTCCTTTTCCTTCCCTCTCCCTGCATCCTCTTTCACACAGAAAATCCCACCTTTGCTGAGTCTCCAGGCAGAGCTCATTTAGTTTTAATCCCCCTCCTGTTGTTTTTCCCAGACGAGGAGCAGACTCCCTAGAAGTGGGGCCAGCCCTCAGGTCGTGGTTGCGACACTCTGCTCAAGCTAAAACCGTCCAGACGGCCCGGAGCAAAGTGGGAGGATCCACGGGATGCAGTTCCAGCCCCAAACCCTTGCGTGCAGACAGCCAGCCCACACGATGTGCAGACCAATCTCAGAGTGCACCAGGAGCCATGCACTTTTGGTGAAAAACCTCCAGAGGGGATCCCAAAAACACATTCCTGCTGCCCCTGGTAACAAAGCTGAACGTGAAGTCTCCCCGTGGTATCCCCCTGTGTCAGGACTTGCTGGTCAGGAATTGTCCAGGAATTGTTCTGCACTGCTGTGCCAGGATATTCATCTGCACTCTGTTTTTTAGCAGACACATCAAAAAAAAAAAAACAAAACACTGGCAGGAGCTCTGAGCCTTGGTGATTTGGTTTTAATAGTCCACAGGGTAGAGAAGCTCAGTTTTGAGACAGGGAAAGCTGAGACCTGTTGAATAGGAAAGATTCAAAGCAGATTTCAAAGCAACAAGTCTTGTGAGTGTCCCTGCCTGTGGTGGGGGGGTTGGAAATAAATGATCTTTAAAATTCCTCCCAATCCAAACCACTGTGTGATGATTTTATGATTATTCATCACATCATCCAGCATCCGCCCCAGGCAGGAGTTCCCCTGCCACCCACCCCCTTTCCTTGTGCTGCAGTTAATTCCACTCAGCCAGACCCACACCAGCATTGCCACAGGACACCTCCATCCCCAGAGCATCTCAGAATCATAGAGTTGGGATGGCAGGGGTTTAAACAGTTGGTCTAGGGTGGATTTTAGGAAAAGGTTCTTTACCAGAAGGTGATCAGACACTGGAACAAGGTCTCCAGGGAGCCTGACAGAGCTCAAGGAGCATTTGGACACACTCTCAGGCACATGGTGGGATTGCTGAGGTTGTCCTGTGCAGGGCCAGGAGCTGGTCTCAATGATCATCATGGGTCCTTTCCAGCTCAGGATATTTTATGATTCTATATTGTGATTATTTTATTTCATAACAATTCCACTGTGTTGCCTTTATTTTGAGGCTCTGACACATCTTCAAAAGTCCTTTGGAAGGCAGCACTGAGAGAGAGTGTGAACTTCTTTGCACAGCTGCCAACCAAGAAGTAAATAAGAGGGTGGACGCTGCTGTTGGCACAGGCAAGCGGGAGGGAGGCACTGAGGACAAAGACAGAAAAATCAAACACCCTCAGCAAGAGCCAGAACCCAAAATCAGCAGTGAAGAAGGGGAAGAAGATGACAGCCAGCAGGACCACGGCACAGAGCTTCCTTGGAGGGTGTTTCCACGAGCAGCACAGGACAATAAGCAGGGTTAGAGCAGAGCAGATGAGGGTGAGCACCGATAAGAGGTAGCTCAGGACGAAGGCAGCGAGCGCTGAAGGGTGGAAGTAGAGGGTCACGGTGAGCAGGAGGGAGAGGACCCAGAGCAGGGCACACAGGAGCACTGGGAAGCGCTGGGAGTGGCGGCAGGGACAGTGGGACAGGGGTAGGACAGACAGAGCTGTCACAGCACTGAAGGCTGTCAGCAGGTAGACACCGGCAGTGAAGGCGAACAGAACGGTGACGTTCAGCACGGCTGTCACTCCCTGTGAGCCCAGCTCGTGGCAGAGGCTCTCTGGGACATAAAATATCCCCAGGGAGATGGCGATGGAGAGGAGGAAGGTGCAGTCAGCGATGGCCAGGTTGAGGATGAAGATGGTGACGGGGTTCCTGCGGATTTGGAAGCCGAGGAGCCAGAGGACAGCCCCGTTCCCAACCATCCCACAGAGGCAGATGAACAGCGTGACAGGCACTTTGCTCAAGTGGCTGCTCTCACAGTCAGTCCAGCTGTAGGGGTTGTCCTCACTCCAGCTCCTGTTAGATGCCATCCCAGTGGGTTGGCCCCAGCAGGCGGGGCCGGCTCTTTCCGTGGCAGGGGACATGTCCATTGTGACACCTGCGCTGCTCCTCCTTCCCCTCACACGGCTGGAGGGGTGACAAACAGGGACACATCAGCAACACTCTGCCTACACACCTGGCTTTTCCCATCTTGTACCATGCCCCAACTTCCACATGGAGGAGTACAGAGAGAGGCGAGGGACAGGACAAATGGAAAATAGGATGTGGGATGTGGATACGGACGTGCCTGGCACAAAATCCAGGGAGATGCCTCCCTCCTGGATTTGGGCAGGACAGATCTGGAGGAGGAAAATAATTGAAGAGGGACATCTTCGGAGATAACAAAGAGCAAGAGGCTTTGGGGTGGGTCTAATCTGGATTCTCAGGTGTCTAATATTGCAGCTGATATCACTGCCCTGCTGGGTTCCTTCAGCAGCACACTCATTTCAGCATCCACCCCCTCCCCGCCTTTTTCCATAGTATTTATAGGTCTTAATACCCTACAGACCACTATTCCCATATCAGATTTGGTGAAAATTGATGACCAGGTCCTACACCTGGGAGGTGGGAGGGGGGGGAAGCTGATTAAGCTGAAAAAAAACCCCACCCAGAAGAGTCTGACCTTCTTTCCTCTCGCAGCCTGGACAATTCCACCGGAGCAGACACGCTGCGGACTCACATCACCTCACGCTCACCAGCTGCTGCCCCTGCAGTGGGACCTCCAGGAGTTTTCCTGGAATTATCACTTGGAAAATAGGAGCGAAGCCTTCCCGGTGAGCCTGCGCAGTGCCTGGCATGGGGTCTGTCCCGGGTCCTTTCACATCCCCCTTTCCCCGGGGTTGACTCATGTTCTCGAGGGATGTCACAAAGGGGGAACTGCTCCCCCGCCTCTGACGGTATCAGGGCTCTGGTTCTAATCTACTCTTGGCTTTGTACAGGAAATGACTAACCAAAGAGAGCCTCAGAAAGGAGACCTATGGGAAAAGGGTTTGTCTCCATATCAGGTTCCTCTTTCCTTTTAAAGCAACCCCAATCCCAAAATGTGATCTTTGAACTGGCTGAATTTTTCTCCTCGCATTCCAGGGGTGGATCTTTAGGACCCTGCACTACAAACTTGCTGGGAAACTTCGATTTCTGGTTGAAATCTGTTTTTACCACTTATATACTACAAGCCCAGTGACAGCTGACCTTCACCACACGGTTTCCAAGAGGATTCTACGTTGTGTGTCAAGGAGCTCATGGAATAATAAAATCTGGGCATGAGGTGGAACATGGACAGATGGCAGAAGGATGATTCAGGATTTCAGTAATAGAAGAAGGGGTGAATTGCTGCTTGCTTGGCTTTAGCCATTGGTAAGTTACTGGGTTCATCTGAACTGTCTTCCACACTCCCTTTGGAGCCATTCAGCACCCAAAATTAATTCCATGGAATTAATGAAAGATAAGAAAAGCTGGAGTGAGGTGAGATGATTCCTGCCCAGACTCACATGCATCTAGGAGCAGGGATGTTCCTGCTGGGACTGCCTCCTCTCTTCCCTGCTGATGCAGGACACAGTTTGTGTCCCAAACTGTGGAATCTGCATCTCACATCCTCTCACCGAGCTGACCCTTTACAGTGTAAACAGATCAGGATCCAGCATCTAAAGGGGCTCCAAGAGACAAGGGCATGGAGTGACAGGACAAGGGGGAATGGCTTCACACTGATGGAAAGCAGGTTTAGATTGGATACTGGGAAAAAAATCATTCCCTGTGAGAGTGGCACTGAAACAGGTTGCCCTGAGAAGCTGTGGCTGCCCCATCAAGTCCTGTGCTTGATTAAAGAACAGAATTCCCCAGGATTTCTCATCCTCTGCTTCCCTGGAAAACATCCTGAGCATGTTCTCTAAAAATCTGGATTTCCCACTCAAGGTTTACAAACATCGGTTGTTTGTTTATGTGAAGGTCGGGTTTATGTGTGCACAAAGGAAACCACCATGTGCAAATATTATGGCTCTGGTAGCAGCGTGGGGAAGCTGATATGTCCCCTGGCAGGAAGAGCTCATCCTCCTGGATGATTCCTCCTGTTCTTCCCAGCCTCTGTTTCGGTCTCTTCTGGGTCTCACAGTTTGTTCCATGGGCTTCTCCACCCCCAGGACAGAATTCCTCTTTCCCTCAGCTGTCAGCCCCTCCTTGCCAGTCTGTCTGACCTCGGAGTGCTGGTCACCACAGCACTTTCCTCTTTTCCCACCCCTTCCTGCCTCCCCAGTCAAACCTCCTTGGAGGTTTAAGCTGGGTCCCTTGGAGGATGAAGGTTTGGCTGCTGGATGATGATGCTGCCAGCAGCATTTGGATTTTTCTCTCCGTTCCTGTGGCACGGGAGGACACTGAGCCAGAGGGAGCTGAAAACATAATTTCTGTTCTGGTCTGGGGGCTTTTGAGGATCAAGGTGGTGAGAACAGGAGCACAGATGAGACAGGACTTTCTGGGCTACATCATTTCAGTGTGATGAACTAACTGGCAGCATGAGGGGACTGTCACAACTGTCACTTTAGAAATAAACACAGGCAGCCCATGAGCCAGAAGGGGAAGGAACTGCAGTCCCCAGTAAATTACAAGGGAAAAAAATTTATTATTTTATGTAATAATTTAAATATAAGTTTGAGGTGGGAACCAGCCCTGCCCCTGGAAATCTCAGGTATGCCCTTGTCCTGGGGATGCACAACTCATCCAGGCAGGCAAAGTGCTCCCTTTGTGACAGGACAAGGGGGAATGGCTTCACACTGACAGAAGGTGGGTTTAGGTGGTATATTGGGAAAAAATTCTTCCCTGTGAGGGTGGGCAGGCCCTGGCACAGGTTGCCCAGAGAAACTGGGGCTGCCCCATCCCTGGAAGTGTCCAAGGCCAGGTTGGACAGGCCTTGGAGCAACATGGGCTGGTGGAAGGTGTCCCTGCTACCAAAGGGGTGGGAACAGGTAAAAACAACCCCAAGTGCTCCCAAACCCCAGGGGGGGGAGGACGCGCTGCTGGTGAAGGGCTGGGATGGGGATCACAGCACCCCAAAATCTGGTCTCCAATAGCTCTCATTGCATCATTAAGGGTATTAGCAGTAATTAATCAGGGCTGTGAGTGCTCATAACCTGGCTGCAAACAACTGCTCGCTGTCCTTCACCTGGGCTGTCAGGGCCTGCCTTGGAACGGTGAAAACTGGAATTCTTGGCTCCAGTTTGCAGGTGTGTTCCCTTGGGCCCAGGGGAGGTTTTGGCAACGATCCCGGTGCTCTTCCTGGAATGAGAGCTGCTTCTGAGAAGCACCCAGCTGTCTCTCCAGCGCTGCCAGCACTGCCAGCACTGCCAGCATTCCAGCACTGCCGGCACTACCAGCACTGCCAGCACCACCAGAACCCCTCTGCTGCCAGAGACGTGGGGACCCCCCAGGGATGCTGAGGTTGGGAGAAAAATGAGGAATGGCCAAAACCTGCCTGGAGAGGGAACGCGGTTGGAGAACAGGAAGCTCTCCGGGGGAGCGGGTGGGGGGAGAGTGTTTCTAATCAGAAGTAAATGAGGAGCCATTCACAAAATTCTTCATGGGGAGCTTTTGGCAGAAGCCACTTCCTTTGTGGCAAAAAAAAAAAAAAAAAAAAAAAAAAAAAAAAAAAAAAAAAAAAAAAAAAAAAAAAAAGCCAACAAAAAAACCAACCAAAACTAAACAAAAAACAAACCCAAACAAGATAAATAACCCCAAGGAAGTGCAGCTCTGACGTAGCCAAAGTTACAAAACCGTTTCAGACGCCCCCGTGGCCCCATTGCTCCCGAGGGAACACCACCAGGACAGGACACGGAGACGAGCCAGTGATCCGGGGACTTTCTTCTTCATGTAACTGTCCTGGGAGGATCTGCTCTTAGGATATGGATCCAAAAGGAGCATGAGATGCCAAGAAGCCCCTCTGATCTGGACAGAAAATCTTCGCCTGCAAATCTTCGCCTGCAAATCTTCCCCACGGCAAACAGTTAAGTGGAATGTTTTCCTTCCTCTCTACCCCATCTTCCTCTCCTCCACATCCACAGCACCCGGCTCTGTTCCTCCCACCACAGTGACCACAGTGCCCTCCTCAGGCCCCTCTTCTATTTGTCTCCTGCATGTCCTGTCAGCATCCCAGCCCTCCCACCTCCCTCTCCCACCCCACAGTGTCTGCCGGCTCCCTCCCAGCACATCCCACTTCTCTGCCCTGAATTCTCCCCGGTGCAGGGAGCTGGTGAGGAGCCTCATGGCTCATCCCTGGATTCTCCAACCTCTAACTCTCCATCCACTCTGACCACAGCCAGGGACCAAGTCCCACCACCCACCCAGGGTCCATCCATGGAAG